CGATTAGCGGTAAATCTTTATCGATTGTTTATGTCTTGGCGTCTTTGTCACGGATCTATTGGAGCCGCCATGTATGTGGATGAGATAGGCTAGGTTGACGTAGACAGGTGTATGTTCAAAGTCTTTATTCTTGACTTATACAGATTGAGCTTATGAATCTATCTGACTGACTGATTGAAAATGAAAGACACGCGGTTGCGTCTGAGAGACTGAGACTAAGACACGGTAAGAGACAAAGAGAATATTACTGTATAATGAAAGACACGCATATAGTTATGCGTTGGAATGATCGGCGGGACTGACGGTACTACTACTGATACTACCGGTACTACTGCTACACTACTGGCTTGACGGGTGAAAATCTACATCTTATATACTATTGAGAACCAAGAGCGTTGCGAGCCGTATGCAGATCATTCTGAGAATTTAGTTTACGTTCTGAAAATTTATTACGGTGAAGGTTTTCTATGGAAATCTATGACGAAAATATTTCTAAGTATTACCCATCGATTAGCGGTAAATCTTTATCGATTGTTTATGTCTTGGCGTCTTCATCGCGGATCTATTGAAGCCGCCATGGATCTGCACGCCTGCTTATCGCTCGCTGTCTCGGATAGTTTTACAATAGTATAATACAAGAAACTATAGTATAATATGGAAAAACTATAATATAGTACGGGAAACTATAGTATAATATAGAAAACTATAAGATAATATGAAAAAGCTATATTAATACTATTAGTTTTATGGAATCACTTGTTAAATTTGTTTCATGTCTGGTAATTAATTTGGAAATTCAAGTTTTAGTATTTCATGGTTGAAAGGAGTTATTCCAGATAGATTGTTATCATGTACTTTGTAATCCGTGATTCCATAAATGTAAGTTTCTTAGATCTATATATTATTCGCAATCGCATGGTTAAAGCTACTACCAAGCATATTAATTCATAGTGTAGTGATATAGTATAATAACGCTTTCTTTGTGGAAACGTTTTATAATAATTTGTTTTTAACTAGTTATTATGAAGTTATCAAATTATTGTTATAATTAAATTTTGAATAATATTGAAAGTTGATAATTATTAGCAAGGAATGTAAGAAAAATGTTTTAACAAATTATTATTGCGCGCATTTTACGATTCCATAAAGAGTGGTGCGCATATTCCTTATTTTATTTATTTTAATCCTATTCTTTGTATTCTTAAAGATGAAGTGCTAGTATCGCTGATTATATTAAAGCTCAATTGCGGGCCCATTCTTAAAGTAACCGCCGGTCAGTTCTAGAAAGTTACTACTGCGCAGCTACTTAGTTCTAAATAAAGCCTTCTGATTGGTCGGTTTAAGGAGCCTTTAATTCCTTGCGCAATCGGTCATTACTATTAAAAGAACTAAAATATAGTTAATTTCTAAGTTAAATAACCATATGGAACTAGAACAATAAGCAATTAGTAAAATTGATTAATAATGGAAATAAGGGCAAATGGTTAAATAATTGTTCTATATTCCATAGGCATAATGCAGAAATAGATGCGGTACTTAATTATTAGTTGAAATATGGTTTTGAAAAATGACGGGACGTCACAAGATACAAAAAAACTAGATGAAGATTTAATAAGTGCACCATGTGAAATTTGTCCATTTTTATTACGCCAAACAATCCAGCCGCAATATCCACATTTGAATTTCTCCTAATCAATCAAATATACCACATACAATTGTATCTATTTTTTAAATTTGTAATAAGAATAATTTAACCTAATCTATTTTATAAATGTGTGTCGCGTTAAATATAAAATAATATTTGTACATATAATAATAACGTACGATGACATTGCTTTTTATTTAGTTCGTTGTGGCCAAAAGCGTACGTTGCAAAATGAATCTGGGTAGACACTTCACGAATTTTTTATATGGATGAGGTTAGAAATTCTTCCGTTCCGTAATGGTTTCGTGCCATGGGGAACCCACTGATTAAAAAGCGGAACGGAATTGAAACGGAATCATTCTGATTGGTTACCTTCTATCTGGTTTCTTTTCCGTTCCGCTATCCTTTCTCCATCGAGATGCACCCTAATGCCGGGATAACGATGAATTTAACGTAACGGGATGTGACGGGACGTGAAGTGACGTGACGTGAACTTAAGGTGATGCCGGACCGTCCTGTTTTACCGGCCATAATAATTTACTTTGCAGACCGAAATTTTTTTATTATATAATAGTATAATACTATCTTCGTCTATGGTAAAAAAAAAAAAGTTTAAGCAATATTACGTTTTTTTACAAAAACAAATTTTATTTTTTATTTTTCTGTGAGAAAGTTCATGCATTCTTACTTTATCTTTTATATATATTTTTTTTCTTTTTATCTGAATTTATTTAACTTCTTATCACTTTTATTTTATTCTACTTCAGATCCATTGATACGACATATGCTGGATTTCAAGCCCTATAAATAAAAATGCACAATATATTTGACATTAATGTATGATTAAAAAATAATATGTATATATATTTTATATTTACGCAGTCCCAAGCATAAAAATGCACAGATGTAAGCTTCTCTAATGGATCAGTCATGTGAACATTTAAACATTGCGATTGATCGACAAAAGGTCCACGAGAGGCAGCCATATCAAAAATAACTTTTTGTGGCATTTCCCAAGCTGTTTTATAAAGAAGTTTTAATTCGTCTGGTATACCCTCAATATCCTATGAACAGATATGAGAGAAGTTTATTTTCCAATATATCGATTTTTTTAAAGACATTTATATAGAATAGGATTATTTTGTGTGCAAGATAATTAAATTAAATAATGACTATTTACTTGTATAGATCCATCATTATTAATGATTTTGTTACACATGTTTTCATCCCAAAGATTTTTTTCAATTAAATCTCGCAACAAACGTGGTTTGACAATTCGGAATTGTTTAGATAATGCATGTATTATATATATGTTGCTTTTATATGGTTCAACTGATATATTATTTTCTAACATTTGTGCCATAAAGGCATCTGACATTTGCGCTATTAATAAAGAATTGCGCACACCATGTATTTCAATCTTTTTTTTTAATGTGCTCCAGTCCCATAAATTTGTTGGTTGTACAGTCCACATATCGTACTGCAATATCTATGAAAAAAGCAAAATTGCATGATTTATATTTCAATAACCTTCATATGTAAAGTTAGTAACCAAAGAGACAATATTTTTATTGACTGAATACTTACACCTTGACTAACCGGACTAAGTTCATATGATTTATATGGACCTTTCTCAATGGCTATTTCACAACTAGCTTCTAGAGCACCATAATAGAGAGTCTCAAAAATTTGAATATTGAGTTCATGAGCTTCTTTGCTTTGAAATGGGTATCTCATTAAGATAAATGCATCTGCTAATCCTTGTATACCGATACCTGTTTTAAAAACAGATTTTTAAAAAATCATATACATAATACGTAAATTATACACAAATATTTACCAATAGATCTATGTCTCTCACAAGACAATTTTATTTCCGGAAGAGGATACAAATTAGCATCAATCATTTTATCCAAATTGTAAGTGACGATTTTCACAATTTCTTTAAGCTTATTAAAATCAAAAGTTTTCTTAATAGAATCTACAAACATATTGACAGCAATTGAAGCTGTATTACACATAGCTATCTCATTAGAACTTGAATACTGAGTAATCTCAGTGGAGAAACTACTGCATTTAATTGTGCCCAGATTCTCATGATTTGTTTTACGATTACAATGATCTTTATAAACTATATATGGTGTGCCTGTTTCAAATTGTGTCTGAATGATGAGATTCCACAAAACTCTAGCTTTGATCTGTTTCCGAAAGCGTCCTTCTCGTTCATATCTATATACATTTATTTCATAAATTATATAAACATTATAGAATTTAATTTTAAGTACTATTCAGAATATTATATATAATTATTTACTTTCTATACAACATTTCAAATTCATCACCATATTCTTCAATTAAGGCAGGACATTCATGTGGACACATTAAACTCCAAACTTCATCATTAAAAACACGTTCCATGAATAAATCTGGAGTCCACAATGCATAAAGCATATCTTTAGCCCTCAATTTTTCCTCACCTATAATAATTATTTAAAACATATTTATATTATATATAAATATGTGTGTGTGTGCATGTGTCAAGAAAGTGTACTAAGAGAAAACAACAAAAAATAATAACCAATACTCCTTTTAAGATCCAAAAACTCAAAGATATCAGCATGCCATGGTTCTAAATATACGGTAATTTGTTCTGCATTTTTGCCACTTCTAGAAACAGTTGCAATAGATGTATTGTATGCTTTCAACATAGGTACCAATCCATTTGACACGCCTCCTGTGCCTCTGATAGGTGTATTTTTTGCCCGAATGCAATTTACATTGAATCCTATTTCACCATTATAATAACAAAGAAGAGCAGATCTTTCCAATGTATCCAATATTCCATCTATACTATCTCCAGACATTGTCAATAGAAATGAGCTATAAGAATATCATATTCATTAAAGAACATTACATATTTAATAAATCTGCTTCTTAAAAAAAAAAAAAAATAATGATCACCTAGCCATTTGTTGCTTAATGGTACATGCAGTATCTAATGTCTGTGCAGGATATACAAAATATTGTTCTGATAAAAAATTATATGTTTCAATAGCCTTATCAATATCTTCAACATGAATAGCTACAGCAACTCGCATCAGCATATGCTGTGGTCTTTCAACAACCTTTTCATTCAGTTTTAATAAGTGATTAGTTTCCAACATTTTAAATGTAGTATAACTATAATTGAAATCTCTGTCGTATATTATTGCAGAATTCAATTTGTCTGCATTGCTTTCAATAATTTTATAATATTTTTCACTGATTATAGGTAAACATTTGTTTGTGGAGATTTTTGCATAGAATAAATCAGCTACCACTTCTGCATAATATAACAAATATTAATAAGTTATATAGCAGCAAACAATATATATCATACAATATCAATATATTTCTTACCACTAAAATTCTCTTTTGTCTCTTTATGCAGATTCGATATGGCAATTCTAGCTGCTAAAATTGCGTAATCTGGATGTTGATTGATCATACTTGCTGCAATTTCAGATGCTAAATTGTCCAATTCAACTGTTGTTACTCCAGAATACAAATCAGTTATAACACGAAGTGCAATCGCAGCCTGTAAATAATATAAAAATTATAATAAATTTTTTAGATTGACATAATTTAACATATATTATAATAAAGTTATCAATTCTGCAAACTCTGTTTCAAGAAAATATTACATTAATATAAATAAACAAAAGTTATATCAGATTGATTTTCTTATTTTATTCATAACATAAATAAATACTTACTGGATCCACATAATTCATATCCAAATCGTAACATAATGTCTCGATTCTTGCAGTTATTTCATCGAAATGAACAGGTTCTTTACGTCCATCTAATAATAAATAAAAGATATGTTTAAAGGCAGAAAATCAGTGAATGACAAGAATTCGTTATATCATAATGTATACAAATGTATTTTTAAATTACCGCGTTTTAATACATGCATGTTTCTTTTTCACTTTCAAAACAACTTTTGTCAGTACTTTGACACAATTCTCGCACAATTCTACGTAATTCGACACAGATACCGACAACTGATCGTTATGAAAATTTTACCCGCGAAACGGAAGTGGAAAAAAGAGCACGTTCTTAAGTAACGAAATGGGCAATTCCCATTTGCTCTTAAAAGTATACTCTCCTACTCCTACAGCCTTGTTACTGCCATTGTAGACGGCCCTTTACACGTTCAAAAGTTTTTGTCGTAATCGTAAAGCCCGTATCCGACTACGCATTGAAAATTGAAGATTGGAGATTAAAGATTGGAATTTGACTAATCATAACAAAAAGGACTAAAATTTCTTTATTCTGATTGGTCAAATTTAAATCTTGAATCTTGAATCTCAATCTTCAATGCGTAGTCTGATACGGGCATTAGGCCGGTTCTACAATAAGTCGTATGTTGTTAGCCGTAAGCAAATTGACCAACCACAGTCAATTTTTTTTGGAGTTATCGACTGTGATTGGTCATTTTCCTTACGATTAATGACATACGACTTATTGTAGAACCGGCCTTAGGCCATAAGCAAATCGGCCAATCACAATCAAGCATTCTAAAATGTAATAAGAATATTCGAACTGTTATTGGTTGATTTGCTTACGGCCTTAAGCCCGAATCACACTAGCGGCTGGAATGCCTTTGTTTCCCGATAGAAAAACATGTTGGAAGGAAATAAGAAAGAAGATCATAGTTGCTTCTCTCTTGTGAGTAAAGCCCGGTCTACAATGAGTCGTTAGTCGTTAGTCGCAAGCAAATTAACCAACCACAGTCTATCATTCCAAGAATATTCTAAGAATAATTGACTGTGGTTGGTCAATTTGCTTGCGACTAACGACTAACGACTCATTGTAGACCGGACATAACTCTGCTCAAAAGTGCGCATGCACGGCCATGTGTGTGTACACAAAAGTATGTATACTACAGACACGATGCTTGCATGTGTAGTTACTCCCAAGAGAGAGGCAACTACGATTTCTTTCTCACTTCCTTCCGACACTTTTCAGCCTGCT